GCTCAAGTTCTGTAACTCCATCCCAAATGCCATGAGATCGCTCAGCCACTTCGAGTATGCGGTGGACTGAGAGCAGGAATGTGGTCAAGCGCCGTTGATCTACATTCTATGTTAGTATGACTAGTTCCAATTGAATGGAGGGCTTTTCAGGTGGCTTTTCGTCGATGAGACATCAAGCTAGGTAGGTGTTGCCTCAGCTCCAAATCCATCAAGACATCTCAGAAGACGTGGTCCTACCTTGGGTGCTTGGTTGGGTGGCAGCTGTGAGTCGGCAGCCTGATTACCTACCCCGCAAAACGATCCAAAGTAGAGGCGAGCAGGCAAGCTGAGCCATACTCGCGGTTGGTGAAAGGCATTGTCACAGCCGCAAAACGGGTCGGCGAATAGAGAGGAATTCGCACGCATTGATAATGTCTTCATCTGGGCACTCCTCTTGACATAAGTAACTGACAAAGGTAGTCACTCAGCCACATGAGAAGCACCAAATCCGGCCCATGAGCCTGAACCCCGCCCCCGAGACTGTCCAATCGGCGGATGGGGCCGGACCCAAGCCCCGCCGAAACGCCGTGATCCGTTCCCCGGCGACGTGATGGCCGTTCGGGCCCCGCCCCGAGTGGACTCGAAACGTGGCCGACGGTGAATACTCGAGGCCCGGCTTCCATGCTGATGCTGTGAAACTAGTCGTTCGACGACGGAGACCTGCCCGTCTGGTGAAGCGGCCTTGCACGGGTACAGTGCCGGAAGGAGAAAGCTTTTACGTTAAGGGGGGCCTCGACGTTTGCGCGGCTGGAAAGCAAGTGACCTCGCTCTATGAGAATTAAGAATGGAAGTGAATTCGAGAAGGATAGGATTACTGGTGGCCAAGGATACAGAACAAGATGCCACCTCACATTGCTGCAATTGTTTCTGGGGAGCCGAGGGGGAAGCGGCGATGGAGTGTCAGGAAATGACCTTTTTGGGCTCGATAGGGGCTGAATCGGGGTAGAAAAGGGGGCTGCAGTGAGCAGTCTGCGCAGATGCAGAAATAAAGGCAGATACAGAGGCAAGTCTATCCAAAGCAAACTAAAGCTCCGATGGCCGCCGGGATATCGTCGTCGGAAGAGACGCTTGTCGCTCTCAGGATACGGCGCCTGGACTCTCAAGGTTTCGATAGCCGTCGACACGCCCTTTTGCCGCTAAGGGTGTTGGTACTTTCCCTGGTGACTTCTGGGACAGTCAGGCGGTCCTGGATTGACTTCTGTCGCAGATTACGGATTTACTACACTTTGAACGGCGAACGAGGTTGTCTCGGCCGATACGCTAGTTTCTTCAAGTCGAGCCTACCCAAAGAATTGTCTGACACCCATCAACATCACGTGGATGATGCGGTCAAGGATGATAAGACCATCTTGTATGAGACGGTTGCTTGGTAGTGGTGATAGTTTACGTCTCGAGATAAGGATTGGCAATGATGGTTGGATGCCCCGCCTGGCGGACGCGGCTCTGCTTCCAAGGTGCTTATCTAGCGTGGGGTGTTTGATACAAAATGGGATGGTGTTGCATGTGAAAGACCACCATGGCTGTCCACATTTATATCTGATATCTATAGCCTGGGGCTTGTCATCTAGACATGTCTGTTTCTCGCAAGATGTAGCCCAGCATGCATTCACACCAAGGACTTCTGGAGAATACTCTATGAACAATGGCGAGAAACAACGAAACCACACCGAGCACGTTTGATAATGTCTCGTTGATACTCGAGAGACGATCAAGTCCACTTGCCAATGCAGATATCATGTAAGGGTTCCTTCGAAAGGCGCGACATGTGATCCAGCAACATCTCATAGAACGCCGGGGCATTCAGGAAATGGGTACGTACGGTAAGCTCGAGGTGACACAGAAGCGGCAAGGCAATGATTCGACAACAAGATAAGACCATCAGCCTGTCTCGGCTTAACTGGACCGACGAGAATGAGCATGATCGTCCGTCATTAAGACGTAATATGAGGAGCTGTGGGAGCTGTGGTCGTAATCACACATGACAACATTGATCCAACGAAACTTCCCTAGCTTTGTGCGAGGGAAGCAATCCTTGTGTGGTTCGTATTCGAACGGCCTAGTCCTGTTCGACTGGCCCCCTTGCAGAAGTGAGAAAACCAACAACGTTCATTAGTCAGTTGGAACTTATTCATTGACCAGCGGCAAAGTTAATTCCTGTGCAATGACTGCTGGCCAACACTTCAACGATCATGATAGAAGGCTTGCCAGCATTGGAAATGAATGTGTGCCACAATATCTACGACTGCGTGGAACGGGACGGAGCCTTGCTGTCATAAAATATTCACCCATATCTTGAGTATAAGGAAGTCTCTGCGTGCGCCCTCGTCACGAACCTTTTGCACAAGAGTGTTGCGTAGTCGCAACTGTCGTGATGGCCCGAATAGCGAACCAATATCAATGCCCGGCATCTGAGAATAGTCGTCTCTTTCCCGTTAGAACAAGCGTAGAAGTCATCAGGGAATCAGACGAAAGCAGCAGGATTGATTGATAAGTTTTAATTACATTATGGAAAGGCCATTGCAGAGCGCTTTCCGTAATATGGCCGCTCCAAAGGGGAGGAGTAACGTGACTGCCTCAAACACTACCTTATGCGGCACTTTCCATCTCCTGATACTATGGCCGACCTGTTTATCCGTCACGTGTATACTGACGGAGTACATGCTGTTTCCAATCTTCACTTTTCCAAGACGGTTCCCCGGCTTGGCCGTGAAAACCGTGTCAAAGAGCTTCAAGTCATTGAAGCCCACTCGGCCTTCTTCACATCCAGCCATTCCCCCTTTTCTACCCAGAGATTCTCTAGCCACTTTGCCAGCTTTTCGTCATCCGTCGGTAGAGTCTCGAGGGGAAACCTGCGAACATGGACGTGAAACTTGTATCCAAGTCGAGAGCTCAACCCGGGCACGCTCAAAGTGTCCCACATGGTTGGCGCCGCATGGAAATCTTTTCCCCTCTGATACGCAATCGTCACATCGTACACGGCCTTCACGTGGGCCGCCTTCCTGAGGTGTTGGACGGTGGTAATGAATCCTTTCGTCCTAGGATACAGCAAATGCATAGGCTGCGGTCGACCCGACTCCTTGCACCAGACGATTGACTGCTCATACTTCTTCTGTGTGAAACGAGTGGCCTCGCTGAAGCTGATGAGCCCTATTTATCATCATCAGTAAGGTGTCCGCCCTGAACGGGAAAAACTATTAACTGATGCACTTACAGGTCGGCCACTGCCTATTGACGATACCCGAGAATGCCCTGTCAAGCTCATGCTTGTCTTTGGCCCAGTTACGACTCACCATGGGCATACCCATCGCCCATAGACCCCAACCAAGAAATGGAACTATCCGCAGCTGGATCTTGGCAAAGTAACGGCAACGGCCTAGCATCTCGGCTTTGATCGCGAGAGCTTGTATCATGTAAAAGTCCGCCCATCCGACGTGGTTGGCGACTACTACAGCCGACTCCCCGCGGGGAAGGGCATCGCCGGAAAATGTAATGTTGGCGCCATTATATCTTTCAAAGATGATCTGGATCCAGTACCAAACTGTCTCGGCGATCCGTGACGAGGAGTTGTACACGAAGTCCGGAGCGAGCCATTTCAGCGGGAGCTGGAGTGAGATGGCGGTATCTGCCAAAAGCAACCAAAGAACCCACGGAGCTAGAATGGCAGCTCCTCGGAAGTGAGTGAGCACGTTGCCGTGGCCAGCCATGGCCGTTGAGGATTCAATCGTCAAAGCTCACTCTAGTGGAATCCGAGACCGAGGCGTAGGAAGATGAATCGATGCACGAAAATGATGACACTCTGAGTTCTTTCGCAACTGGCGACGTCCCAAAAGAAAAGATTAAGGTTGGCCGTCTAGTGAGCGAGCCGAAGCGCGGCAAACCGATCTACAACCCAAGACACCCTGCCCTAGACCAAGGGATGTTTCGAAAGGGAGCCGCGTGCGCGCGTGACCTTTAGGCCAGCAGATCAAGGGTGAAGGTTTCGAACGAGTGGGCGATGATCCGGGGTTCACTCGTCTCAAAGATGCGCGTTCCTCTTCGCGTTCAGTGGATGAGCACAATTACAGCCGTATTCCTTGCTGCCAACGAGGAGGAAGCTCTGAAGTGTGGCAATCATGGGCTGAGGATCTTCTCACAGGATATGATTGCAACAGTATGGGAATTGGGGAAAAGGAAACACGATGCTACTGTGGCTGGCTTCTGTTAGCAGAGACGTCCGGTCCCGCCCAAGTTCCTAAACGGGTTAAAATGACGGCATGGACTTTTGGCAGAGGTCAATGATTGATCTCCGTGGGCCGACTGACAAACGGCGGGCTTAACTCAATTATGTGAGTGAGAAACCCCTCCAAACCACTCAAAGACAGGGATTTCACGTTCCTGGCCGTTAATCACATGGGCCGAGCCTGGAAGGTCTCGAAGGGACGAGTGAGACGTCCAAGTGCCAGCATTGAGGCAACCGAAAGCCCTACGACGTGCCGAATTTCATTCAACATAGGACGAGATGTGCACACTGGGCACACAGACAGAGGGGTGCTCGAGTGTCAAGGTTGGCTGCATATATAAGCAGTCGTATGTGCGTTTTCAAAATGCTCAAAATAGGCCTTGGAGTGTGAGGTCCAGTTAAGGGACTCTTGGCTTTTTTCCCGGCTCGTCCGATGTCGACGCCGCCATTGGACCGAGGTCTGTGTGGATGGGAGACTGGAGAGACGGGATTTACGCGCAGAGATTCGCAGGCTAGATAATTGCCTCGCAACAAGAAACTTTCGACGCGCCGCTGGCTAGCAGAATGCAAGCTCACACGTGTGCGTCTGCCATGGAGAAGTGTTGGTCTAGCAAGGGGTCAGAATTGTGACACGTTCCGTACGGACGTATGGGCTTCTACTTTTGTCTGGCGAGAGCTCTCGTGCATGGTAATCTGACGATTCCAAGATGAGCAATTCTGATAAGCGAGCAAACAAGCAAACATGCCCCTCGTCTACCACCAGGGGTCTCAGGGTCTGGGTCTGAGTTGGGGACTCGTGGTTGGAGTTTGGAGGACTGTCAGTCCTTTGGAGACGGAGCTGATGCCGGCGCTGGGAGGAGAACTGGAGCGTAGGTGGATGGGACGCCGAGTCAAGCAAGTCAAGCCACACGAAAGCATTCCAGGCAGACGAAGCAACAGTAGCAGCAAGGAGGGCCGAATGTCGCACCCGAGGCTCTCGATGCATGTCTCTACTGAGACTATCTACTCTTTCTTTGTCAGAAAGTGAATAGCGGAGAGGAATGAGGATAACGGTTGAGGCACCCGTGGACGAATATTCGCTCACAAATGCCATGTGAACTTGACCTAGAACGGGAGCTGCGAATGGGAACCCCTCCATTTCTCCCCGCTTGTGCGATGCAGCACTTTGTGCGGTCTGGCGGAACTTGGAAGCTTCTGAAGCCTCCTTTTCTCAGCTATACTCGGTCTGCCCTCGGGCCGTTCGTTCGTACAAAGCCAAGCCGATACTGGGAGCATTCGATAGCTTGGGTACGTGGGTTCCAGACTGGGTACTATGATCCAATATTACAGTACGGATACAGAGACAGAGACGTGAGAGAGACAGAGACGTGAGAGAGACAGAGAGATGGGCCAGCCACGGGCACGCCGCTGCTGGTCTTCACTCAACCGCCAACGGATCGCAGGCTTAAGGGTCTAGACCAGGAACCGTCGCCCGCCGTCCACGGAAGGCGCCTTGCTTACCCCCCGCCTATGTCAGTACCGGCGCCAACACAAAATTCCAATATTTGTCACACGGTCAGTACTCGCTATGCCGCGTGCCGCTTCTCCTCGGCCTCACCATAGCTAGAGCTCGCCCCTGCAAGCTGCTCAAGTTGCTCTTCGACATAGCATAGCCCTATCCGGTGACGACTCTCGAGGGGGCTTCTGTTCGTCAGCTTCTTCAGACTGCCAGTCTAGCCGACGTTCTTTCTCTCGCGGTAAGGCAGACGAACTAAGGGGACAGAAGTGCGTGGAACCGCCGATGATTCCGAAAAAGCAACGAAATCGGACTTGATCGTTCAAGTCCTAGGCCAAGTCAGCACCACCTAACTAAGGTACCTTCGAGCCTTGATGACTGGGGGGGACCCATTGGCATTCGGCCTTGTCGCAAGGATCCGTCTCCGGGGTCTTCTTTGGAAGCCTCTATGAACCAGACCAACAGACTGCCTACCTAAGCAGTTCCAAGTCAGAGTTGCGAACGCCTATTGTTAGCTAGCCGAACTGTGATTTTCTCTCCCTTCATTGCCATCATTATTACCGAGGGGCTCAACATCGATTCGATCCGAGTGACGGGCTGCTGCTGCTACTACTGGTACTACTGCTGCGTACTGCTGCTGCTGAAACCCCGCATATTCATTCACCCTCCCGTCATCCTTTTCGCTGCTCTCATCAAGACGACGTACCAAAACTCGTTGGGCTTCTTCATTGATTGACCTGACTGGACCAACGACCGCCTTGGCCTCCCGCCCGCGTTCGCCTGCTGCTCTCGACTTCCAAGTTCCGCCATCTTGTCTTAGAAGAGGGCGGTGGCGCTGCCTCTTGTCATCTCGATTCGCGACAAACATTGGCCACCAGCACAGCAGAGAGCCACAGCAAAAGGACGGAACCAAGGGCTCTTAACGCGCCCCCCGTCTCTCTACCTTACCTTCTTGGTGGTTTCTCCGCTCCGCCGTCATCCGTTCTCTCCTTATCACCTCTGCCCTTTTCTGTTGCTACCCTCTTCCAAAGTTCCAACCCATTTCCAGACTCCCCCTACCCCCCAACCAACCCCAGGCCCGTCCCCAACCCCGAGCTGTTAGGCGGACAGTGATTACCTCAGGTCCAGGATAACTGTGAGCCCAAGCTTGCTTGATTGAGCCTGAACCTGAGCCGGAGCCAGAAAAAGCCAGACTGCAACCGTCCAACCACCCCCGGACGCACGACATCCATCCTCTTCATCTGGACTGTGTCAAACAATTCTAAAACAGGGCGGATTAATCTACCCAGCCTACCCCGACCGATCTACTCCCCGCGCCCTGCTCGTCCCCTCGTCGCAACCGCATAGCATCCTCAGACAGCTCGGACGCCAGAATTGGGTTTCACATTCGAGAAGAGCTTCTCAAATAACCATAATCGTGGTTCAGAAGAGCACAGCGCATGATACAGCCGTGAACGGCTCGATCCCTTTCCACCGCAACATCCCCTGCTTTAACGGACGACAACCACCGTCACACAGCATCGCACTGTCAGTCAAAGTGGGAAACTGACCATCGCGCATCCAATCTTCCCAGGTAAGCCCTTCAAGTCATATTGTCTACTCTGGCTGGTCGGGTACGCCACGAATCGAGACGTATTTGTAAGGACAAGACCCCCGCTATAGCCTTGGTGTTTACCCCTTTCACATGACGACATGAATTGCTGCGCTTCTTAAGCCCTTTCTCTCTTCGTTGCAATGGTTCTAGAACGACATAATGACTGACCTAGGAAATTTAGCAGCTTATCGCTCTCCGCCGAACCAGTCATCGTCTCCGGCACGCAAACAGTCTGTGGGCGAGCTTCACGAGAGGGCAGCGATGGCTTCCTCGTTGTCGCCTGACCAGTACGGGAAACAGCCGTCGCAGGGTCAGTATGGTGGCGGCGGCTCTGGCTCCGACCAGGAGCGGGGCCCCCTGAGCTCCTTGAATTTGGGCTTTCTCAAGTCCCTGACAGAAAAGAGGACAACGCGAGGTAGGAACGACCATATATCCGTGCCAGAAGGGACACTGTTCTGATAATGCGTATTCGTAGACGGCCAAACACCCAAAAGGAGAGGACCGAAGCCCGACAGTAAACCTGCTCTAACTCGGCGACAAGAATTGAACAGACAGGCACAACGGTGAGTGACGAACAATTTCGCTGGAGAATCAAGCGAAACGACCGGGGTACTGACGGTGGAGATGACAGTACGCATCGTGAAAGAAAAGAGTTGTACATCAAGGCTTTGGAAGATGAGGTCCTTCGATTGAAAGAAATCTTTAGCAACATATCGCAAGACAAGGACAAGGTGGCCGAGGAGAACAGGCAACTCAAGCAGCTCCTGGTCCAGAACGGAATCCCTCTTTCTCACTATGGTGACGATATGGTCAGCAACCCTAGCGGAGGCTACACATCGAGCGCCAGCCAGTCGGGCCACAGCTACGGCCAGAACGCCTACACGCCACCTTTGACGTCGACGACAGCGCCGTCGGTGTCGCCTTCGTCTCACGGTCCGTCTTACCCCCACGGTCTGCCCCCTCCCCTTCCCCAGATGGGCAGCCAGCAACTGCAACAAAACAGACAAGGGCAGAGCTCTGGTAGAGGTGTGGACTTTGAGCAAGCGGGCATTGACTTCGTCTTAACGTACGATAACCACCATCCCTCGCCCTCGAAGGCATACCTATCACCTCCCCCGCAGTGAAAAGTACTTGTCATATCACCAAGTCCTGGACATCATCGGGAGTCGGGTGGTGTGAGCGATGATTGCAACGAACGGAAGAAGAGCTTGCTGACGAGTGCGATTTTATCGAGGGTATGTAACAGTCTCGAGAAACCCTGCATGAATCACATGCCTTGGCTGTTGGAGAGATCAAGCGAGATGGGCGGCGAGCCCTGCGGACACGCGCTGATGGCCTCATGCCCCCCGGCGCCCTTCCCGGAGCTTACACCTGACATTCCGTTCGGGTACAGCAATGTCAACGGAGACCTGGACTCCCAGCAAAGGACGTGGGAAGTGAGCAAAGGCAGCCTCTCGGCCTTGCTTGATCTTAGCAAGAAACTGAACCTCGATGGGGAGGTCACGCCGGTCATGGCTTGGGGCATGGTTTTGGGCCACCCCAGGGCTCACGAGCTTCGTGCCGAGGACTTCCAGAAGCTCACTGACGAGCTCAAGGACAAGGTCCGATGCTACGGGTACGTATATATGCTGCTCTTCACATCTCATGTGGCTCAAACTGATCGTGACTTAGTTTTGGTGCCGTTATGGAGGAATTCGAGGTCCGGGACGCATTGGAGAACGTCTTCTGCTCCGGACCGGAAATGATGAACTACGCCTACTAGGACCGTCTGGCATGAACTCGGGTAACGAGATAGGGGCACCTCATCAGGAGATTCAGTGAATCTCTGAATGCATGACTTGGTGTGAGAAGAGGCCCAAACTAGAAACATTTGGAGCGTATTCTGGGAATCTTGGAGGATTACTTTTGATACCACGGCCTTAATGATATGTACATTTTTCCAAAGCCTTAAGAGAATATCGTGAAAGCATGAGCTTTGAATCAGGCTATGAGATGTATTAAGCGACGACTTGTGTATTGTGAGCAGACCAGGCGTAAGGTGGTGGTGTTCCGCGGCCACGATGCAGCTGGTCGTGGCTGGTAGTGGCCCCGCGTCGCGTGGAAACGAGTGGCTGTCAGTCGCCACCAGGTGTCGAAACACAAGACTTTGAAATTTTGCCCGCTCTGCCCCACAAAGTTCACCCCACCAAATCCGAACGACGAAAATCAACGGCGAGAGGAGGTGTGCACCACCCAAACCCTTGACGACTTTTCCATCTTTCAGAAGCCCGAAAGCGCTGCTGCCACCCCCCTTTCCCCCTACCGAAAGACGCACAGCTAGACCGATTTCGATTTCGACTTGACCTCAATAGCCAAGGAAGAAAAACCATTTTCATCATGGCTCAGGAAATGGACTGGGTCAAGCTCGTCGAGACTTGCCCGGCCGGCGATGGTTGGGGCCCGCCCGTCACCACCGAGACTACCTTGAACGGTGTCCCCTATGCGCCCTTCTCCAAGGGCGACAAGCTTGGTCGCATGGCCGACTGGACCTCCGAGGGCAAAGACAGAGACGGACGTGGTGGCAGACAGCAGTACAACCGTAACTACCGTGGTAAGCGTCACCTTCCTCCTCTAGCTTCAGCTACGAAACCCTCCACGAAGACGACATCGTCGCTAACTCTCTCGCTTCCTTTCAAGACCAACAAGTCTACGGTGCCGGCCACGCCATCTCCTTCAACGCCCCTCCCGCCGAGGACGAGTCCACCTTTTCCGTCGTCAGCAACACCCGCGACAGCACCAAGACAAGATTCGGCCGTGGCGCCGTCTTCACCCGCGGCCGCGGCCAGCGTGGAGGTCCCGCTCAGACCGCTCGCGGTGGCCGGACGACCGTCGCTCGTGGTGGCCAGCAGGGCGGCCGCGGAGGCTACGGAGGAGGCTTTGAACGGGGCGGAAGAGGCGGTGGCCGTGGTGGCCGCCGTTTCGGCTGGAAGGACTACGACAAGCCTGCCCGCAACCGTGACGCCAGTGTTAACATCAAGGCCGACTGGAAGCTGCTCGAGGAGATTGACTACAACCGCCTCGCCAAGCTCAACCTGGACGCCGACGAGGGTGAGGAGATTGACGCCTACGGCTTCGTCTACAACTACGACCGCTCCTACGACAAGCCCGCCGTCAAGGGCTTTGAGCGCAAGCTTAACGCCATTGACCGCGCTGCGTACAATGTCACGACTTCTTCCGATCCTGTGATCCAGGAGCTCGCCGACAAGGACGAGGCCTCCATCTTCGCCACCGACAGCATTCTCTCCATGCTCATGTGCTCCCCGCGGTCCGTCTACCCCTGGGACATTGTCATCTCCGTGCAGGGCAACAAGGTCTTCTTC